AGAGGTGTTGAAGTTTTGGGCATGCTGGTAGACGTGGAAATTGTCCCTTGAGGTTTGATTTGTTTGGCTATGTATAGTAGGCCATTGGTGAAGGGGCAGTTATTGCAGTGTTCGGAGCGTGGTCAAATAGGAGAGCCTGGTCGGGGATCGGGTGGGGTTTTACTTCTTTGGGCTATTTGATAAAGGTGCAAGCCTCATTGCCCCTAACAGTGGGGATATATTTGCTTACTGGCCATGGTAAGCCTGGATTATGTTGGGAATAAAACTGTCCACCCTCAGGTCCCTTGAGGGGTAAGGGCTAGATAACTAAAATCAGGGGAATACAGTTGCCCATGGCTCCTCAGGGCCGTTCAGGACTGGCACAAAGTCCGCCTTTCATCCTTTCAGCACGGCTCTCACACCTTAGTAGGTGGATTCAGAATGGGTTTGGTGAAGGGACAGAAACAAAAATGGGAATGGAAAAAAATACCATGCATAATTTTAGTTGATCGAGGGAACTGAGTCCAAGTTGGGGAGTTCCCCATCATTGGTCCCATCTTCCGCCTCCTAAACCCCCCCACGACAACAACGGGTCAAGGGATTGGGGGGGGGGGCGGGGCAAGGCACTGATAAGATTGGAGGATATAGGTGGGTAACAAAGATTAAACCCCTGTGGTGCCGGTATGACGTGTACATACGATGCTATGCCCACAGTGAGTACTTGTTTGCTTGTTTTTATCACATAGATGGCGAGCACGTGTAACGAACTCCCGTCTCGTCCCCGTTTACCCCGTTGTTTGATTTACAAGATATTTTACGTAATCTTTTTGCACGTAACTAATGTTAACCAAAATTATAAAATTAATGTTCGATAAAATAACACCATCGAGTTCATAGTCACTAGTGAAAAATACGTTGTTTCCCGACATTTAAATCATGCGCTAGAAGAGCCACCTATCAGCAGACATTTCACGAAAAACATAGAAAGTGGGGCACAATATTTTCCCCCATTTTGTTCATATTTCCCGGAAACCATTGGTTAATACCTTAATTTTACTATGCAACATGAGCATTTTGCCTGTTGTGCATTCGGCCCAAACCTCACCAAAACTGTTTGTGACCATTACTTTTGCTCAGCAAGTACCCGAGTACTAATGCTCAGTGTTGTGGACGTAGCACCTTGTTAGCCCCTTCCATAGATAGTGTTGCCATACGATTCATTTGTTGACCGTGACCAATGGACCAGATATTGTCTCGATGACCATTCATGGTTTTGTACAGGTTTCTATTTTTCTTGGTTTGTACAGGTTTCTATTTTTCGTTCTAAAAAAACGAGGTTTACATTATTTGCTCTAACTTGAATACAGTTTATCACATCCAAATATCTTAAAAAATTAGTATTATAGTTCTCAGTATGCCTATATGACGACCATGTAAATTATTTGTTATTCCCTTATCTCACCTTTTACAGAATCGAATAGAGGGACAGTACTTAAATTTCATGTTTTTGAAATATCAAGAAAAATCCGTTCATAGAGCAATTGACATATTAGTCACTGCCTCAAAAATCTTTAGGACTCAGTTAAACATTATTATCGTGCATATTTTATTTTTTTCCAGGTCATGTTTTAGCTTATGCAACGTTCACATGAATCAAATACAGTTTTCATTGGTGGGTAGGGATTATGAGAATATCTGACAGGCTTTTACTTTCAATTAAATTGTTATTGCTTTTGAATAAAGCTTCATTATTACTGTAGTTCCATTTCTTTAGAGGCTATTTTGGGTTTGCCCCTAATGTAATCCACAACGGACCTATGGGAATGTCGGTCGCCATGACCGTGGGACTGATCACCATAGTCTCCGTTATGGCTCATAGTTAAAAGTTCCTCATATTCCCTATAAGTGCTAACCATAACTATGGCTAAACATATTCGTCATAGTATTTCATAGTCGCCATAGTCGTTGTGCGGGGGCGTGGGATGGCCCTTGGATGGTCGCCATAGTCGAAATGTGCGGGGCGTGATGGCCCTTGGGAGGGTCGCATAGTCACTGTGCGGGCGTGATGGCCCTTGGAGGGTCGCCATAAGTCACTGTGCGGGGCGTGATGTCCCTTGGTAGGGTCGCCATAGTCACTGTGCGGGGCTTGATGGCCCTTGGGATGGGTCGTCCATGAGTCACTGTGCGGGGCGTGATGCCCCCTTGGAGGGTCGCCATAGTCACTGTGCGGGGCGTTATGGCCCTTAGTGAGGGTCGCCATATTCCTGTGCGGGGCGTGATGGCCCTTTGGAGGTTCGCCATAGTCCTGTGCGGGCGTGATGGCCCTTGGGAGGGTCGCCATATTCCCTTGCGGGGCGTGATGGCCCTTGCGGAGGGTCCCATAGTCACTGTGCGGGCTTGATGGGGCCTTTGGAGTCGCCATAGTCACTTTGCTGGGGCGTGAATGGCCCTTGGAGGGTCGCCAATAGTCACTGTGCGGGGCGTGGATGGCCCTTGGGAGGGTCGCCATAGTCACTGTGCGTGGCAGTATATCCATTCCGGTGTGACAGAGTCCTGTCCCTTGACGGTGTTTATATTGGAGGGTGGAGTATCATACCCAGTGGGGGCGTACCATAGACCGGGGGAAAAGGGCGCGGGGCTGTCGATAAACACAGAGGGTGGCGTACCATAGCCGGAGGCGGCCGGCTGGCATACCCAGAGGGGGGCGTACCATAGCGGAGGCGGTGGGTTGTCATCACAGAGGGGGCGTACATAGCCCGGGGCGGTGGGCTGTCATACCCAGAGGTGGGCGTACCATAGCCGGAGGGCGGTGGGCTGTGTCAGACCCAGAGGGGGGCGTTACCATAGCCGGAGGGCGGTGACTTTCATACCCAGAGGGGGCTACCATAGGCCGAGGGCGGTGGGACTGTCATACCCAGAGGGGGGCGTACCATAGCCGGAGGGCGTGGGCTTGTCATAACCGAGTGGGGCGTACATTAGCCGGATGGCGGTGGGCGTCATACCCAGAGGGGTGCGTAACCATAGCCGGGGCGGTGGCTGTCATAACCAGAGGTGGCGTAACATAGCGGAGGGCGGCGGGCTGTCATACCCAGTAGGGGGGCGTACCATCGCCGGAGGGCGGTGGCTGTCATACCCATAGGGTGGGCGTCCCATAGCCGGAGCGGCGGCGGCTGTCATACCCAGAGGGGGGCGTACCTAAGCCGGAGGGCGGCCGGGCTGTCAGTACCAGAGGGGGGCGTACCATAGCTCGAGGCGGCGGGCTGTCATAACCCAGAGGGGGGCGTACCATAGCCGGAGGGCGGCGGGCTGTCATACCCAGAGGGGGTCTGACCATAGCGGAGGGCGGCGGCTGTCATACCCAGAGGGGGGCGTACCTATAGCCGAGGGCGGCGCTGTCATACCCGAGGGGGGCGTACCTAAAGCCGGAGGGCGGTGGGCTGTCCATACCCAAGGGGGGCGTACCTAGCCGGAGGGCGGAGGGCCTGTCATACCCAGAGGGGGGCGTTACCATAGCCGGAGCTGAGGGCTTGTCATGACCCATAGGGGGGCGTGCATAGCCGGGGCGAAGGGCTGTCATACCCAGAGGGGGGCGTACCCAATAGCCGGGCGGAGGGCTGTCATACCAGAGGGGGGCGTACCATAGCCGGGCGGAGGGCTATCATACCCAGAGGGGGGCGTACCATAGCCGGGCGGAGGGCTGTCATACCCAGAGGGGGGCGTACAGCCGTGGCGGAGGTCTGCCCAGTACCAGAGGGGGGCGTAACCATAGCCGTGCGGAGGGCTGCCATACCAGAGGGGGGCGTACCATAGCCCGGGTGGCAGGCAGTCTCCATACCCAGAGGGGGGCGTACCATAGGCCAGGCGGCAGGCTGTCATACCCAGAGGGGGGCGTCCATAGCCGGGCGGCAGGCTGTCATACCCAGAGGGGGGCGTAACCATAGCCGGGCTGCAGGCTGTCATAAATACCCAAGGGGGGCGTGACCATAGCCGGGCGGCAGGCTGTCATATGCCACAAGGGGGCTACCATAGCCGGGCGGCAGGCTGTCAACCCAGAGGGGGGCAGTACCATAGCCGGGCGGCAGGCTGTCCATACCCAGAGAGTGAGGCATGGCCTATGTGGTTGAGACCATTGCCGTTTAGTAAGGGAACACTAAGTGTTTGGTCGAGGATCGATAAGTAGTTCAAATGACCACCAGTGCCAGTTTGATCGTGCGGGATGTTTGGGTGGTTTGTAATACTCAAAAAATTGTGACGTCGAGCTTCATTGGTTTTGGGGTACACTGTGGTGGGTGTCTTGCAGGCCTTGCTGTGTCTTCTCTCAATTACGGAGGTATGAATGGCTTAAGTAATCTACATCAACAAAGCGTGGGCAGGTTGGGCTTGCACCCTACACCCCATGACACCAATCCTGCAAAAGTTAAATCATAAGGGTAATTCACAATGGCATGCCATTGACAAAATATCAATTGTTTTAGTAATATCGAGCGTCTTGAGAAAATTAATTAGCCTTTTATGATGTTATGGCCTGAAGGCGATTTACAAACAATACGCTTCCCACCATCGCCCTGTCAATGACCATTGGGTAAAGGTTTATGGTTAAAAGTCCTCATCACGCTACACATCAAGGTCCATGAAACAGTTATAGAAGGTACGTAGAATTGAAAAGAGTAGAGGGATGGGTAGGGGTGAGTCAATGATTTAATGTTTTACTCGTCAAATCCACAGGACTTTTGGATATGGGTACTGAAAGGGTTGAAGAGGGTGAGTAAATGGGGCAAGGCAAAAGGCAAATGATGGATGGATGACTAGCCTCAGCAAATCTGATCCATTTTAAAATCCAAATAGAACTTATTTAACAAAGGTTACTAAAATAATACACAATAAGAATGCCTATAAACTATAGTAATGGCCCCAATTTTGATTAAAATTGAGAAAAATTCATTTTATTTCTTTTATACATAGTCACCATGAGACTTGCCTGGCTGAGGGTCAGTTGCTTGATCCCTGTCAACTCCTACCTGCTTGCGTGACACCCACACAAATGTTGGAAGACTGGTCTAACCCCGAAGACCCCAAACGTTGCTGATATCTCACATCCACTGTTTACTGACTTTACCGGCAGCTTCATAAAGGTTCGATTTCTTCAAACTTATTCATGACTGCCATACCCACAAGTAAGAAAGTTCCCAGTTCAAGAAAAGCAGATACAGCTATGACCAATATGTCACAGACTTTGTACTCATGCCAGAGAGCAGTTTTGGTACATATACATTTTACCCCGGTCTTCATCTTAATATGGGGGAACTTCTGAAGGACCTGCTTGCTTTGCTAGACAGCATCCTCATCTGGTCACAATGATACTGCTATCATTATCGTTAGTCTAATTCCTGTCTGCAAGGACTGACTAATGAGCAAGCAGATTATTAAGAGCTTTTCGTGTTTTAAATTCTATTTGTTCCTTCACATTCTCCTTGACAACTTTCACTTACTTGTGATCATTCTCAGACTCTGTCCCTGGAAAGTCAAACAACTTTCAATCCAACTTGCCAGCATCGACTCCACCATAGTATGGACCCCTCTCCCCCAGCAGAGTCATCCAATTGTCTACAATTGAGGCCGTGCACTGGGTTATTGGTGTGCCCAATGACTACTGTTGTTCCGATTTGATAACTGGATCAGCATAATTTAAGAGCCTCCAATTTCTGACAATAAGCAACCTTACATTGTCACTTAGGGACACTGGTATGGACGAACAGGTCGTCAAAGAAGAGGGGATTCTCCAAGGCGTCTGATAGGTTTGGGAGGCCGGTCAAGGAGGATAAGGTTTGGGGGGGGGTGTTGGCGGGGGGGAAGCAGAGGTACAGCTGCACAAAGTGTGACAGGACAACAATGTGTGACACTGAAGAGGGACATTATATAGGAAACACATAGGTGGATCAGAGTGAAACAATCAGATAGTGTTGGTGGGTAGTACCAATATGCAAGCAGGTAGGGTCGTCTCCAATGTATGTCCGATGGAATGAGCCAACCGAGGAGAAGACTGATAGTTTTAAAGTATGTATTTTATAAGAGAAGTCCTTAAAGGGAACACATGAGCAATACGGGGTGTAGTTATAGTATTGCATCTACTTCTGGGACTGGTGTCCTTATCTCTTTGTGGAGTGGAGTGAGTGGAGTGTGTGTGTGTGTGTGTGTGTGTGTTGTGTGTGTTGGTGTTGTGTGTGTGTGTGTGGGTGTGTGTGTGTGTGTGTGTGTGTGGTGTGTGTGTGTGTGGTGCCCACAGTTTATGGTTGGGTGCTGACGGTGAGTGGAGATCAAAGGAGAACTTGGCAGCACCCCAGTCATATAAGGACTGGCAGTCCTTGTGTTGATCTTACACATCCCTTCTATAACCATTCCCCAACTAACCATTAATCTCTCTTTCATACTTTCCCTTTGTCTTGTCTATACTTGTGCATCCAAACCCTAAAGTCATACCTCCCTTGCAAACCAGTCGATGCACATTATTTGCATCTTTCTTTCTTCGTCGTCGGATTACACCAACGAAGATAGATCCCACCCCAATTGACTTTATTGTCCTTGGAAATCTATCTTCCAACCTGCAGCCCACCTATTCTCATAGTTTGGTGAATTTAACTGCTGCTGCACATCTTGGAGGTGATAACCGGCAACCAACTCCCATGGCTGATCCCTAGAACGCTTCCCTCTCCACAACTAACCTTGGTCTTGATCTCCTACACACTGACACATTTCATCATTTTCATGCAGTAACTTTCTAAGCCCATTCTTCTTCCTTAGATTTCCATTTTGGTCATTTCTAGATCTTTTTCCCTCCGCGTTTACTTACACCTTTCTCTCTCTTTGCATGATGTACCTCCTCCACCTCTTTCCTGGTTTCCGTCTATTCTGTCTGTCCATGGCTTGTACCTTACCCACTGTAGAAACACGACCAATCAACCCTGAAGTTCGCATAGTTTCTCCATGGTTTGTTACGGCCATGTCTGCGCTCAATGGACAGTGGTTCCCCTAGTTGCCCTGCCGTGGCAGCACAGCGCACTCTACTTATGGCTGCAGGATCCAGACCAGAGATCTGTTCTGCTGGGAGGATCGGAAGCAACAGGAGTGGATCTGAAGGGGTTGGAGAAGGGAAACTTAATCAGGAGGGGAAGAGACCATGCAAAAAGTCGTTCGAGGGGCTGAGGCCCAGGCAGGGTTGCTCCTAGCACATTGTGTCCTCGCCTAGTTAGCATAACAACTGTAAAAATACATTATGGGAGCCACCACAATTAGTCCGATTAACACAGAGCAGTTTTAACAATCATGGCCAAGATTGGACAAATGGTGGTAGGCTGTGGAGCACCAGTGCTTATCAGGTAGCCAAATGCCAGCATTTCTGTCACTGATGGGGAGTTGGTCAATGTGGTCAGATTGGTGAAGACTGCCAACAACTTCATGGGGAAGGTCATGTCTACAGAAAATCTTAATACTGGTAAAGGACTTATGCTGACCTCAGAGGAATAGTGTACAACTGTTCTGAGTGAAGCTGACCAGGAATAGGTTTGCCAGCGAGTTCATGCATGGTTATTAATGCTTGAGCTTGGGACATGGTCAACTATTTTAAAGTTTACAAAAAAAAAAGAATGATGAACCGGATGCAGATGAAACTTTGTCCTATTCATTATGGAGACCGTGTTTTTTAGTCTTCATAACTGTACAAGGAAGCAGATCACTATGCAATCACACTTACTTTCTGTTATATCGAACTAAATATAGGCATATTTACCTTATCTGCAAGAACTACTTATGACCAAGATTAACAAGCAATGTGATGGTGCTTTCTATGGAGAAGGGTCTGTACCACCCTCCCCCACATCCCCTTATCCTAAAATCATTTACTTTCAACTTCGGAAGCTTAGCAATTAATAGAGTTTGAGCATGTCAGTGGTATGCCACGTCTCTTGCTCACTCTTTCAGCAATTCCTAATTAACTTACCATGTGGAATTTTATATCACCATACTTAAAATAATATGCTCGAGTAATACCCATTTTTCTTTTACTTTCAGATTTGTTTGCAGGTTATTCATGCAATTTGCCCTTCAAATCGACAGATAACAAGTCAGGTCATACCTAAATCACTTCCAAACACATTTTGGAAATACTTGGCTTGGCACACAGTATACCCTCCTGAGTCTGAAGAAACTGCCCGGGCCGGGGAAGACCCAGACGAATACTGGGCACATCTTCTTGTCAAGTTTTGATATTTGGATGACGGAGGTGGAGCTGAGCTCCGTGTTGGTTTGTAACCATCCTGAAAAATGAAGAATGTATTTAAGGTATTTTCAGAGTTATTCCTCAACCAGTGATTATTGGCAATGGTTTATGATGCTGTTTAAAAGATTCTCCTGATAATCTACCCAAATATTACAAATTTTCCTAGGATATTTTCCCAAAACCTAACCAAGCTCCACAGATATGACAAACTGGTTACAGCTAACCTACTGGTCCCATGGACTTTTTTCGCGATATTGAAGAAAATTTTAATTTTAACAAGAGGTATTTGATGCTACTGACTTTAGCTGTTATGCGGCGAGATAATTTTGAAAATACCAGGTGGATTGATTTATTAATTTGTATATAAGCATCCTCTGTGTGATACAGGAGAAATCTTTACTACAAGTCACGCCAATTTGGACCGTGTGGCTATATTCTAATAGTTGTACAGCAACATTTCAGCCTGGCTACCCATTTCACAATCCCAAGCCACTAAGGAATCAATTACTGGCTTCACCTAATAATGCAATTTAGCTTTTGAATGGTTAACATTACTAATAGCGTTAAAAAAGGTAAAAGGAAATACTGGCATACTATAACGGACACCTCGGTGGCTCTATTCAACTTTGTCCAAACAATTACAATGGACATTAGTGGTTCAGACTACTAGTATTCGCATTGCCAATGTGCTTACACTGACCATACCTGGTTGGGGCACACAGCATTCCATGCAGACACTTACAGTCATGTTCACTTGTGTGCTTGAGCTCGCCAGGAAGGCACACCGGTTAACATTTTGAGATTAAGTACGGGCCTTGCAACTCCACACACGGCTAC